TTTAAATTGATAAACTCCCTTTGAGCTTTTGTGACACCGTGTTGTCTGTCGTTTTTACCTCCGTGCATTTCATTTAACCTTTTCATTATGACTTCTCCTCCAATACCGCTTGGCCAAATTTAATGAAACTTGGCAGGCATGTTCCTTGTATGAAGCTCTACCAAAATGTTAAAAAAAAATCCTTGAAGAACTCTGGTTGCCATGGGAACCAAAAGAATTTATTTTAACAAAATCTTTAAAAATCTTCTTGTCAAAAACCAGAAGGTGTAGAGCCTTTATATTTGCTTTGTAACGTGATCTAGTGGTCCTCTACAAATATTGCTCAAATTATTACCCTAGGGTCAAAAGGGACCTCGCGAGTGTGCTCATCAGTTTTATATAAAGTTATTAAGAGAAATCTTAAAAATTTTCTTGTCAAAATTCACAAGACTATAGTGGTCCTCTACAAAGATTGTTCAATTTATGCCCCTAGAGTCAAAAGGGACCCGGCTATGGGGGTTACTCGATTAAAAAAAAATCTTTAAAAATCTGCTTGTCAAAAACCACAAGGCCTACAACTTTGATATTTGGTATGTTACATCATCTAGTGGTCCTCTACAAAGATTGTTCACATTATGCCCCTAGGATAAAAAGGGGCCCTGCCAGGGTATTTTCGTATTTATGTTATACATGTATAGGGAAAATCTTCTTGTCATGCCTCCTGAAGCCTTGATATTTGGTATAACATGATGTAGTAGTCACTTTGTCACAGGTGTGCTAAACAAGGGGGCCATTGACCCAATGCGCTCACCTGAGTACTAAATGCAATTGATATACAAAAGTGAAGTTATCAGGTCTTAATTTCAATTTTGACCCTATGGCTATAATTTGAACAATCTTGGTAGAGTTCCACTTCACAATGCTTCATGCTAAATATCTAGCCTCTAGCCTTTGTCATGTTAGAGTTGAAGATTTTTTAAAGTTTTATCTATATACTTATAAGGAAAACTTATGACCCCTGGGGCGGGGCCAATTTTGACCCCAGGGCTATAATTTGAACAGATTTGGTAGAGGACCTATAGATGATATCATATACCAAATATCTAAGCTCTAAGCCTTGTACCTTCAAACAAGAAGACGTTTTATTTTTTTACTTTATACATACAAGGAAAACCTATGACCCCCGGGGCGGGGCCAATTTTGACCACAGGGCTATAATTTGAACAACTTTGGTAGAGGACCTATAGATGATATTATATACCAAATATCTAAGATCTAAGCCTTGCACCCTCAAACAAGAAGACTTTTTAAGTTTTTACAATATACAATATATTAAAGCTCTAGGCCTTGTACTTTCAGACAAGTTTTTTAAGTTTGCATTTTTCAAACGCCTTTTCTGACCCCGTGACCTACTTATGCAACAGACCTGAACCATTTGAACAACTTTGGCAGGGGACCACCCATGGATCATTCCTGCAAAGTTTGGTTACTGTGTAGTCATTTGTTTCTGAGGAGATGTTGTTTAAAGAAATTGTTGACGACACACGACGACGGACGGTATGGATCACAATAGCTCACCATGAGCACTTTGTGCTCAGGTGAGCTAAAAAAATGTTACAGGGTCTTGTTTAAATTGCATTTACTGAAGTTACACAATGTATTTATAAAAAGAGAGCTTTTCATCAACAAGAGGGCCATGATGGCCCTGAGGTCGCTCACCTGTATATAGGCCCTCGGAGCGAGGCCAGTTTAAACCCAAGGGCTTTTATTTGAACAAACTTGGAAGACACCCATTAGAAGATGTTTCATGATGTTAAGTTTTTACTATACATATATAATGAAAAACAATGACCCCCCCCCCCCCCTGGCAGGGCTAATTTTAACCCAAGGGCTTTTATTTGAACAAACTTGGTAGACACCTATAAGAAGATGTTTCATGCTTAACATCTAAGCTCTAGCTCATTGGGTTTTCAAAAGAAGATTTTTTAATATACACATATAGTTAAAAACAATGACACCCCTGGGGCGGGGCCAGTTTTGACCCCAGGGCTTTTATTTGAACAAACTTTGTAGACACTTAGTAGAAGATGTTTCATGCTTAATATCTAAACTCTAGCTATTTGGGTTTTTTCAAAGAAGATTTTTAAGTTTTTGCTATACACATATAAGGAAAATCAATGACCCCCGGGGCAGGGCCAATTTTGACCCTAGGGCTTTTATTTGAACAAACTTTGTAGACACTCACTAGAAAATGTTTCATGCTTAATATCTAAACTGTAGCTATTTTCGTTTTTTCAAAGAAGATTTTTTAAGTTTTTGCTATACACATATAAGGAAAATCAATGACCCCCGGGGCGGGGCCAATATTGACCCCAGGGCTTTTATTTGAACAAACTTGGTAGACACCCATTAGAACATGTTTCATGCTAAATATCTTAGCTCTAGCTCTTTGAGTTCTTTAAAAGAAGATTTTTAAGTTTTTACTATATGCATATAGGGAAAATCAAAGACCCCCTGGGGCGGGGCCAATTTTGACCCCAGGGCTTTTATTTGAACAAACTTGGTAGACACTCATGAGAAGATGTTTCATGCTAAATATCTTAGGTCTAGCTCTTTGGGTTCTTTAAAAGAAGATTTTTAAGTTTTTACTATATGCATATAGGGAAAATCAATGACCCCCTGGGGCGGGGCCAATATTGACCCCAGGGCTTTTATTTGAACAAACTTGGTAGACACTCATGAGAAGATGTTTCATGCTAAATATCTTAGCTCTAACTCTTTGGGTTCTTTAAAAGAAGATTTTTTAAGTTTTTACTATATGCATATAGGGAGAATCAATGACCCCCTGGGGCGGGGCCAATTTTGACCCCAGGGCTTTCATTTGAACAAACTTGGTAGACACTCACTAGAAGATGTTATATGCCAAATATCTAAGCTCCTGCTCTTTGGGTTTTTTAAAAGAAGATATTTAAAGTTTTTTCTTTCAGTTGCCATGGCAACCAGAGTTCTGCATGGAATTAAATTCTTTGAACAATTTTTCAAGGTGACCACCAAAGGAACATTCCTGTGAAGTTTGGATGAAATTGGCTTGGTGGTTTATGAGGAGATGTCATTTAAAGTAAAAGTTTACGGACGGACGGACGCCGGACGGACGCCGGACGAAAAGCGATCAGAAAAGCTCACCCTGTCACTTTGTGTGTGACAGGTGAGCTAATAAAAGTAGTCAAGATCTGTATTCCTGAACACACTTAAGTATATCATAGTATCTACAACAGAAGCAACATGCTTGCTAATTCATTAATAAGGTGTAGTTCAAGTGCAACAGTACTTTTGCTATATATAATGCAGTTATTTGAGAAGATGATTGGGTTAAGGAAGATAAATAAGCTTATTTTTATTAGATTTTCTTCCTATATTAGTTAACCATAAATTGAAAATTAATATTTAAAAAAAAATTCTTATTAAAGGGAGATAATTAAGCCAGCCAGAATGGAATGCATATACAAATAACACAATCAAAGACTCCTGGGGCAGGGGCGATTTTTATCCTAGGGCTTTTGTTTGAACAAACTTGGTAGACATCCACTAGAAGATGTTTCATGGCTAATATGTAAGTTCTAGGGCTTTTCGATTTTTGCAAGTAGATTATTTTTAGTTTTACTATTTACATATAAAGAAAATCAATGAACCCTGGGGGCGGGGCCATTTTTGAATCTAGGTCTTTATTTGAACAAACTTTGTAGACATTCACTATAAGATGTTTCATGCCAAATATCTAAGCTCTAGGGCTTTAAGATTTTCACTAGAAGATTTTTTAAGTCTTTACTATATACATATAAGGAAAATCAATGACCCCCTGGGCTGGTCCAATTTTGAGCCTAGGACTTTAAGTTGAACAAACTTGGTAGACATCCACTAGAAAGATGTTTCATGCCAAATATCTAAGTTTTAGCTCTTTTGGTTTTTGTAGAGGACCAGACGATGATGTAACATACCAAATATCAAAGCTGTAGGCTTTGTGGTTGTTGACAAGAATGTTTTTTTTTTTTAATCGATAAGCCCCCTGGCAGGGCCTCTTCATTTTAGGGGCATAATTGGAACAATCTTTGAAGAGGACCACTAGATCATGTAACATACCAATTATCAAGGCTCTATGCCTTGTGGATTTTGATGAGCACCCTGAAAGGGTCCCTTTTCATCCTAGGGGATGATTTGAACAATCTTTGTATTACACATCAAATATATGGCTCTACCACTTTTGACAAGAGATTTTATAAGACTTCCCTATATAACTTTATATAAAACTGAGGAGCTCCCTGGCAGGGCCCCTTTTGAGCCTAGGGTCATAATTTGAACATTTTTTGTAGAGGACCACTAGATGATGTAGCATACCAAATATCAAAGCTGAAGACCTTGTGGATTTTGACAAGATTTTTGATATTTTTTTCTTTTAAATCGATAAGCCCCCTGGCAGGACCCCTTTTCATCCTATGGTCATTTGATCAATCTTTGTAGAGGACCACTAGATCATGTTACATACCAAATATCAAGGCTCTAGGCCTTGTGGATTTCGACAAGAAGCTTTTTTAAGATTTCCCTATGTAACTTTAAATATTACTAATAAGCCCCCTGGCGTGACCCCATTTCGTCCTAGGGTCATTATTTGAAAATCTTTGTAGAGGACCACTAAATCATGTTACATACCAAATATCAAGGCTCTACACTTTCTGGTTATTGACAATATTTTTTAAGATTTTGTTAAAAAAACTCTTTTGGTTGCCATGGCAAAAAAGTTCTTCAAGACATTTAATTCTTTTAACATCTTCGTTAGAGCTTCGTGCAAAAACATACCTGCCAAGTTTCACTAAAATTTGCCAATTGGTATTGGAGGAGAAGGCATTTGAATGACAGACTGACGGACAACAGACAACATGGTGTCACAAAAGCTCACCTTGTCACTTTGTGACAGGTGAGCTAATAAACCACAGAAATAATGGGCTGTGAAAAGCAATAAACAAATATTTGAGTAAAATATCTTTATATAAAAATGCAATAAAAGTACATAAGATACATTGAAATTTATACTTAAAAACAAATTGATACAAGAAATATTAGTGCCTTAGAGTAAAATAAAATTTAAGAAATCCCACAAAGTATATCTACAAACACATTGGTAAAACAAGAGCAGTACAGAGCAGTTAAAATCAAAGTAAAAAGAAGGTATAATTCTGTAACACTGCTTAGACGAATTACCTATCCTTGTAGCAAAGAAGTCATTCAAGTCTGATGTGAATATCTGTGACACAAAGAAATGTAAAAAGGGAGGTAATTAAGCAAAAAGTACTTTCAGATTTACCTGCCCTTTATATATATACACATGTATATATATTCCAATTTGGGAAATGAAGTAGTATCCGAGTTTAAAATGATTACCTTTAACAGTTTTTGAGATAGAAACTTTACAAAAAGATTAACAAGGGCAAAAAGTATGTCAAAAAGGATCATAACTTTGCAAAACACTTTTTTAGTATTATCTGCTCTTGTGAATTGTAACATTTTGATAATGGACAAGTATACTAAGTTTGAAGTGAAAAGCACTGATAGTTGCTATTACAGGTATCGCTGACCTTGACCTTTGACCAAAAATGAGAGCGGCAGGTAGTACTCATTAAGGTCCATCCAATGTCAATTAAGTATTGAATTAATGAGCATAAACAACTTTGTTTTTAAACATTATGAAATTCATACATGTATTTACCCATTCTAAAGAGATAAAAAATTTACTCGCCGTTTCTGAGGAATTATGTGCCTTTAGTATAACAACATATGTCTGTAAAGTCATTAAAATTTTTCAAAGTATGTCATGATTTTTAATCAAAATACAATGTATAAATGTATTATGTTAAAAGAATGCATTAAAAAAGTGGCCTTAAACATGAGAAAAAAGACAAAAAGTGTGTCTTTAAGCTTAAACTTCTACATAATCAAACTATAATAAATTCTTTATAAACTAAATAGATACCATTTTTCAAGTCACAATTTGCTGTAATACATGTGGTGGACCTAGAATACTTATAACAGAGATAATGATACATCATATGAGCAACATAAAAACAAAACCAACATAGTGTGTTTACAACCATCATGGATCCAGACCTTGGCGCAGTCTGATCACGATCCATTCTGTTTGCTTACCAACTCTATTACAAGTAGAACAAGAGGGCCATGATGGCCCTGAGGTCGCTCACCTGTATATAGGCCCCCGGAGCGGGGCCAGTTTAAACCCCAGGGCTTTTATTTGAACAAACTTGGAAGACACCCATTAGAAGATGTTTCACGATGTTAAGTTTTTACTTCACACATATAATGAAAAACAATGATCTACCTCCCTCCCCCCCGGCAGGGCCAATTTTTACCCAAGGGCTTTTATTTGAACAAACTTGGTAGACACCCATAAGAAGATGTTTCATGCTAAACATCTAAGCTCTAGCTCATTGGGGTTTTTTAAAAGAAGATTTTTTAAGTTTTTACTATACACATATAAGGAAAATCAATGACCCCCGAGGCGGGGCCAATTTTGACCCCAGGGCTTTTATTTGAAGAAACTTTGTAGACACTCACTAAAAGATGTTTCATGTCTAGCTATTTGGGTTTTTTCAAAGAAGATTTTTAAGTTTTTGCTATACACATATCAGGAAAATCAATGACCCCCGGGGTGGGGCCAATTTTGACCCAAGGGTTTTTATTTGATCAAACTTGGTAGACACCCATTAGAACATGTTTCATGCTAAATATCTTAGCTCTAGCTCTTTGAGTTTTTTAAAAAAGAAGATTTTTTAAGTTTTTACTATATGCATACAGGGAAAATCAATGACCCCCTGGGCCGGGCCAATTTTGACCCCAGGGCTTTTATTTGAACAAACTTGGTAGACACTCATTAGAAGATGTTACATGTTAATATCTTAGCTGTAGCTCTTTGGGTTCTTTAAAGGAAGATTTTTTAAGTTTTTACTATATGCATATAGGGAAAATCAATGACCCCCTGGGGCGGGGCCAATTTTGACCCCAGGGCTTTTATTTGAACAAACTTGGTAGACACTCACTAGAAGATGTTTCATGCCAAATATCTAAGCTCTAGCTCTTAGGGTTTTTTAAAAGAAGATATTTAAAGTTTTTTCTTTCGGTTGCCATGACAACCTGTGAGAGTTCTGCATGGAATTAAATTCTTTGAACAATTTTTAAAAGTGACCACCAATGGAACATTCCTGTGAAGTTTGGATGAAATTGGCTTAGTGGTTTTGAGGAGATGTCATTTAAAGTATAAGTTTACGGACAGATGGACGCCGGACGAAAAGCGATCACAAAAGCTCACCCTGTCACTTTGTGACAGGTGAGCTAAAAGTTGATAGCGAACAGCATGGATCCTGATCAGACTGCGCGGATGTGCAGGCTGGTCGCAAACGCACTATGTTGGTTTTGTCGTGACGTGGCTCATATGGTCTGATAAACACTACATTCTGTCTAATCATAATGCATGAAGTTCTTTTTTCTAGACTATTGTACAGATCTATGTACTCAGTGGTGGTTTTTTAGTTAACCCTCCAGACCACCAATTTGTTCTGGGGCAAGCAGTTTACCAGTACTAGGTGGCTTCACTTTCACAAGGAAATGATTATAGTTCTGTACTTACCAGAACAAAGGTGTAGTATGAATAACTGTAGAAAGGATTTCTAAGTCAATTACATGAAAAAAAGTGACCTGCACCATCTAGGAATCGAACCTTGGTAACATGATTCACATTCCAACACTCAACCATGCGACTTAATTGAGTGGTGCTGATCTTGAAATTCAATTTATACAACACATCTATCTAAATTTATCAAATATATACTAGTATATATAACAAAGTATCAAAATGTGAATATGACGAAAAAAATGACATATAACTTTCCAGGAATGTTCAAAATAAGTTCATTTGCTGTTTTTTCAACTTTCATTATCACTTGCCCCGGACTGAGAACTAACTTCCTCTTTGATGCAAATTTCTTCATTTGTAATATTTTCACCACTTTTATCACAACCTCTTGTGTTAACACATTTCTCCTTTATTTCATGTTTTTGAAGATGTTTCTTCATGTTAGACTTGAAAGTAAATGTTCGAGGACATTGTGGACACTTGTAAACAGGGCGATCCTGACTATGAAGTAGCTTGTGTGTGGCCAAATTGCCTTTCTGTGAGAAAGTACGTTCACAGATTTCACATCTGTAATTCTTCATACCTAAAATTTATAAAAAGTTGTATCATAGTTTGGGGACCTTTCTGTTGAAAAAGTGTCAGAGTTAAATCGTATACATATACATGCACAGTGCGGTAACTGGAGTGCAGGTATCAGTTACCCGCACTCCAGATAATGCCCGTGGATTGGTTCATTTTTGCCGGGGTTTACATATTGTAACGGCAGAGAAAGGGAAAGGGGCAGAACTATCATATTCAAATGCTCGTTCATTGGTTAATTTTTCTGGGGTTTCATATTATGACAACAGGGAACGTGCTGTCATGTTTGACTATGATACAAAAGAGAAAGAACACCAAAACACTCGGCTATCTGATTTATACTCGAGGGCTACGCCCCCTCGTACAAATCAGATAGCCTCGTGTTTCGGTGCTCTTTCTATTACTTATAAAATGAGTAGACCTATACTAATGTGTTAACATTATAATTATATCACCCGATTTCAAATCAAATCCTAATTTTCAAAACTTTAATTCAAAAGCTTGATTAAAGGAAGTAAAAGTTTTGATTTATTCAGTCATTTACCTACATCGGATGTTGTGTATATAGAGCTTTATAATAAATAATAACTGGTAGGAATGATTCTATAAATAAATTACATTTGTAGTCAACCTTCAACTTCCTTTACAAATCATAATGAGTTATTATTCTCAAACTTTCTCAAAGATCATAGCTGTTGTGTTGAAGTAAGTATTAAAGCTATCTGAAAGGTCCCAGGTAAGTGTCCAAGCTGATTCATCCAATAGCATACATGTATATGAAGTGGATGGAATGTCCAAACAAATTTTAAAGCTTATCTATCTAATAACATATCTGAAGCTGTTGCTGATTTCTGGTTATTTTAGTAAGGAAATATCTAAGAGCTTACCATAAGGGTGATTTTGTTGAAAATTGATCTATCCAAAACTCTCATCTATTGGTTTATACAAACATTTACCTGTGTGTTTATACATATGGCTATCCAGGTATGTTTTCCTGCTGAATTTCTCTTCACAAAATCGACATTGATATGGTTTCTTGTCAAGGAGTAAATGTCTTTTTTCATGCTTTGCCAAGGTTGTCTGGAGTCTACAAAAAGTAAAGAGATTCAAAATGAAGAATTTGTGAAATACGTATGTCCTTGTAATTGCAAACAATAAGTTGAGTTACTTAGACTTCTTAACTGTTTGTGATGACCTTCACTTCATGTCCAACCTTCAATCTTTGGTCTGCAGACAAGAGTGTTTTAAGGTCACAGCGATCTTGACCTTTGACTTCTTGACATTTTAAAGGTCATTTTTGATGTACTGACCTTTTATAGATTAGGGCCATTTTCAAATCATGACCAACTCTCCATTCCAAAGCCTGCACAGCCAAAAATATCTTTAGTTTTTGTTTTGTTAAGCTTTTTGTCATGGTCACAGTTACAAACCAGTGGACAAAAAATTCAGGTGAAAAAAAGCATCAAAATAGCATGATTTGGGAAAAAGTCAATAAAATGAAACAAACTAATATGCACAATTAAAGAATAAGACTTTTTCACTTTTGCTTGTAGAGCCTTTATTTCCTGACTGATGTCTTTCATATTTGGTAGTACACACTTATCTATTTCTTTTAGAGTGGAGTTTTAGATTACTGGCTTAATAGTCAAGGTTACTGGTGATTAAAATAGATTTTTTACATTTTTTTCTGACAAGAATTGAAGGTAATGGATCTTTCAAGTTTGTATCATATAAATATGATAACATTTTTGTCTTGAGAAATCACCCATTTTTAACTTAGTGAATTACTAATTTTAAAACATTTTCCCAGATTGGATATTAACAAGAATCTTGGGCAGGAGCTTATTTAGTCTTTAACATAAGTTCTTGTATTCTGGTGTCAACATTTTTGTCTTGTCTAGGCACTTCACTTTACCGGTTTTCCTGGATGACTTTAAACCATTCTCTCTGCAAGAGTAAAGGAATCTTACACTCCCGTGACTGGCTGTCGGTACAGACCGGAATATCTAACTGGAGGGTAACTGTCTATGGCGGTAACGAAGCTCTGCCGAGTTACGCTAAACAATTACCCCGAGAGCTAGATATTCCCGTCTGTACCGACAGCCAGTGTTTGATTCTTTTTCTTGCATATTACATATCAATTACTTTTAGAACAGAAATTACGAAAACTGATATTCTCATGACGTACTTTTTTCTTATAGAACGAAACTATGAACTTACAACTTCATTCATAACTGTAAAATGACATCATCCTATGAATGTGATTCATCCATAAAAGGCATGCGGCAATGACATCATTTAAAGCATGCAACTTGTCTTATATGGGGGGTGTAAGACAGGGTTTTCTAGCACCGGTGTTAACAGGAGATAATCCTGTCTGATGTGCAAGAAACTAAATATGAGCCGCGTCATGACAAAACCAACATAATGGTTTTTGCGACTAGCATGGATCCAGACCAGCCTGCGCATCCGCGCAGTTTGATCAGGATCCATGCTGTTCGCTATCAGTTTCTCTACTTGTAATAGGGTTTGTAAGGGAACAGCATGAATCCTGATCAGACTGCGCGGATGCGCAGGCTGGTCTGGATCCATGCTGGTGGCAAACGCACTATGTTGGTTTTGTTGTGACGTGGCTCATATCAATACCACATTGTCAGACAAATGACCACTGTACTCAATGTCTGAGATCAATTTTCACAGAGAAATTATAACTCATCCAATGCTCTCCCTATTAATCTAGCTAGGTTATCAAAAGGTGAAATTTTTCCTGAAATACTGTGGCTAGATTAAAAATCTCATCTTTTAACTGAACTAAAGGATGATAAGAAATATATACATGTATCTGAAATCTGTAAATTTATCAAGAAATAAAGAAATTGTGGTAAAAATAAAATAAGAGGGTCACGATGGCCAGTGAGAACCACTTAAACAATGATGCATACTAAATATCCTTCATTGTTCAGAACTGTCCATTATAATTTTGAGGGAAAGATGTGTAAGCAGCTGGATAGTTAAGTCGGTAAAGAAAAATCTGAATTTATGGGGAGAAAATTCCGAAAATATTGCTTCTAGAGTGATGAACCTTGTCATATAAAATGATAAGGAAAATGTATTTGACACCTTAAGAAATAAATAAGTTATAGTAAAAATATTTGACTGCACCAAAACTTTAATCTGAAATCTGGACGCTGACAATAGGGTAAATAGGACAGCTCTCCATATACTTCGTAAAGTCTATCTAAAAATCAATGTGATGCCAAATATCTGTGCTTTCGTTGTTGCTTAAGAGGAGATTTTAAAGATTATATATATAATTTTAAGTTGTTGTGAGCTAACTGTACTAAGACTTGTATAAAACATGAAACTTTTATAGAGGGACACTTAACTTATCATTCTCTTTATCTCAAAACAATATCTTTCTCCTCCAAAACTACATGTTAAAGGATAATTCCTGTAAAGTTACAAGTTAAGTCAAAGTCAGACCACCTTGAAGTTTAGGAGAAGAACAAACTATGGACAGTCAACATCTTCACTAAAAATGCAAGAACATTCATACAATTTTGGAGTATCTGATTAACATGTATAGAAAATGGGTAAAAGACAGAAATGGCCGTGTTGCATTTATATAGCAAATATCATGAGGCTGTGATGTCATGAAAATTTTCTACTATCCAACATCAATGTTGAAAATTAGTTTGTAAGCAGGAAGTGAATGAGGGACAAACCTGAAATAGATTCCCACATGTAAATGCTGAATACGAAGTATCAAGAGGCTGTGGCAAGAAGTTGCTGAGAAAACTGTTAAGAAAATTTCCTACAATTTACCATTAATGTTGAAAATTTAACTAAGTCGGTAAATAGGAAGTGGATGAGCAACAGACTTGAAATTGAATCCCACGGTATGGGACCATATGTTATGGGACCAAATATCAAGAGGCTGTGATACGTAGTTGCTGAGAAAACTGTTATGAAAATATTTTCCCCACCCGCTTGCCCGGTACTCGACATTCACAATACTATAACCACAGTGTTTATTCTAGGATTCGAAAAACAGGGGGGATTTTTACCGATAAGTGAGAATTTATTACATTTGTTGATCTTTTTCCTTCTCAGTCTATGTAAAATTTTTCCTCTCCCTCTCAAAAAATAGAGGTGAATTCTCAAAAATAGGGGTGAATCCCCCCATCGCTCCTCCTAGAATCTAGACACTGTAACCAGGGTTTGCACCTATGCAACCTGGCCAAAAATCAGGACTATTACTTTACCTAAATGCTTTTCCACACCCTTCAAATGAGCACACAAAGGATTTTATGTTGGTATGCAGTGATTGATGAAGACGCAGACCAATCTTTCTTAAGAAGATTTTCTCACAGACGTCACATTTATATTGTTTCTTGTCTACATCCTTCGTATGTAATGCTTCAATATGACACTTCAGGGTATTTGATCTTTTGAAACTATGTCCACAAAACTCACAGTGAAAATTTCTAATATTTAAGTGGACACTGTCTACATGTTTTTTCCTGTTGGATTTATCAGTGAATTTTATTTCACACCCTTCATAAGTGCATTTATAAAACACTGGGGACTTTTTCTCATTCACAATTGGACCACTTGAAGCTTTCTGCCCATGTTTGAGTTTAAATTGCGTGCATGATTTTCTTATTTTAGGGCCATTGTCTCTTGGAGTTCCATCAATGACTGTCCCTTTCTGTTTCTTCATGCTTCCTGAAAAATATCACAATTGATTGCAGTGATTTTCCTACCTATATAACAGACTCCGAAAAAAGGCCTCTTCCCAATTGAAATTTTCTTTAAAATCATGCAGTTTTCCCAAAAATCTGAACTTAAACAAGCTTTTTTACTTCCCAAATCAGCGATAATTTTTCCCAAAATCAAGAGGCTAAGGCCTCTTCCCAATTAAGTGAGAAAAATCACTGGATTGTAAACAAGATTGTATTTGTGAAAAATATGCCGCCACATTAATAGAACAGAAGTAGATTTTCGTTTGTTTCTATACAATTGAATTTTGCCCTAATGTAGAAGAGCCAGGTGAATTTGGGGGTTAAGGTCATATTTCAGCATGTCAAAGGAATGACATTATGCAGATGTGTACAAAGGCCATGGTGCAATAATTGATGTAAGGATAAAAGAATTTAAGCCTTGTACCTTCAGATAATAAGATTTCTTTAGTTTTTACTATATGAACATAATGAAAATCATTGATCATTGACCCCCAGGGTGGGGTCAAATTTGACCCAAGGGTTATAATTTGAACTATCTTGGTATAAGTCCAATTGTCAATGCCTTATGCAAAATATCTAAGGTGTAGGCCTTGTGGGTCCTTTTGATTGCCATGGCAACCAGATTTCTGCATGGAATCAAATTCTTTGAACAACTTTAGAAGCCCTTCACCCAACAAGTTTGGTTGAATTTGGACAAGTGGTGTTTAACAAGAAGATTTTTTAATTTCACTAAACACACACATGCAGGCACGCACACACACACAGCTAACATTGTAAATGTTTCGATTAAATATGAACGATGATTGATCGAAAAGGGTTGTTCCATTATTTTCGATGATCTATTATGATTTTTGTCCCATTAAGAAACCCTACCGTAACATCTAATATATAGGACTAATCTTCATATACAAAATGTTTACAGTATCACCTAAAAAGCTAAATGAAAATAAAATCTATTTAATAATAACATAAAAATTCTTACAAAAGGCACGAGAACACTTTTGAACATAACAAGTATAAAAAGCAGTTAATTGGAAAACTATATGAATTGCTTTAATGTCCTGATCTTGCTTTTAGTTTATCCGAAGTTAGGAATTGTCCGAAATCACCATCGTAGTTTAAACAACAGGATTTTTAATACCCATGAACATATATTCAATTAACGGTAAGTAAGAACATTATCCAAACCAAACATTACAATTCAAGAAGAAATTAATAATTAGACTTATCTATAATAGACTCTTTTACCTTTTCTAATGGAATCAACTTTTTTTAAATACAAATGGCGTTAATGAATTAAAGGGAAGTCACTGTTGCATTGTAACGTAAAACAGTGAAAAACATTGTAGACTACCACTATTCATGAGTGAATTATGTCAGTTACCTGTAAAATATTTGTACACCCTGACCCGCTTGTGACCCCTGGTGTTCTCAAAGTAGTAATATTGACATTGATGGTTTCGATAAATTTGTATGTAATAGACCGAAATATAATCGTAGATCTAAACGGGATAGCGGTGGGATTGTAGTCTACTTTAAATCTTGGTTATTTGGTAAAATTGAATTGATTAAAAGTGATAATAGGGGCATTGTATGGTTTTAAACTAGATAAAAAGGAATTAGGATTTAATGATGATATTTATTTTTGTGTATGTTACATACCGCCCGAGAACTCTATGGTAATATAAAATGTGCATTCTAATCTATATGAATGTGATTTCTTCGAAATATTAAACGATGATATATTGATATATTCTGATAAAGGGACTGTCTTTTTAACAGGGGACACCAATAGTAGAGTGGGAGAAAAGCACGATTTTATTGATGATATGAATTTGAATAGATATGTATATATGCCTGAGAACTATAGTAATAATGATATCTTACCTACTAGGTGTGTTCAAACGATAAAATTGTGAATACATTTGGCACAAAGTTGTTAACCTTATGTAAAGAAAATGACCTACATATTGTTAACGGTAGATTAGAAAATGGAGATTTTTTACATGCTTTACTGTTAACCGTATTTCCACAGGGGCAAGTGTAGTTGATTATTTAATTACAAATGTTAAGAATTTTGATTTTGTTAGACTATTTTTAATGTTCTTGACTTAAATGAACATAGTGACCATTGTCCTCTTAATTTTTGCTCTAAAATGTGATATGAATGTTTATGAAACTACAACATCTGATAAAAATTACATTAACAAAATTGTATGGGGATAGTGACAAACATGAACAATTAAATAATTGTTTTGAATGAAAAAATACATGTTTTCGAAAATATTGTAGATCAATTTGTAAATGATGAAAAGAGTACTGATGAAAGTATTAACGCTCTTACTGAAATAATTCAAGAAATTTGTTTTGAAAATTTTGGTAAAACATTCATTTTAAAGCCATGTAGTAAAACTTTTGTAAGAAAAGTTCCTTGGTTTAATGAAGAATGTAAGAAGGCAAAAGCTGATTTTTTATAACAAAAAACGTATATTTGATGCTGATAAGAATGAAGTGAACAGACGTATATTTTTAGAAAGCAGAAATGCTTTTTGTAAGGTGAAAAGGATAAGTAAATATAAATATAATAATTCAGAAAAATTTAGAATTAATGAAATGAGCAGAAAAAACCCAAGAAATTTTTGGAAGTTCATAAATAAATACAAGAAAAATAAATCACCAGAAAATAACTTATCTGCAGATGAATTTTTTGCGTCATTTCTCAAACCTATCTTGTAATTCTGAAAGTGAGTCCGAGCATATCACTGATAATGGGTTCAAGTATTAATATACATGAACTTGATAAACCTTTTGATGAAAATGAAATTCTGAAAAACTATTTCAAGTTTGACAAGAAACAAGAGTAGTGGCATAGATAATGTGGTACCGGATTTTTTTCATCGATGCTAAGCATTTTATTTCACCCTTTCTTGTTAAATTGTTTAATAAGATTTTTGAAAGTGGAATTTATCCTGAATCTTGACTAAAGGCACCATAGTTCCAATATATAAGAAAGGAGATCTACGAAACCCCAGTAATTATAGGGGAATTACCTTGATAAACTCGATGGCTAAATTGTTTTTCACTATGTTTGAGAAATAGACTGAATAAATGGTGTGAAAATGAAAATGTTTTAAATGATATACATTTGGTTTTAGAGATAAACGTAGTACTGTAGATTGTGTTTTTTATTCTTCATAGTATTATTCAAAAAGTTTTTTGTAACAAAAAATAAACTTTACTGTGCTTTTATAGATTACGAGAAATGTTTTGACACTATTACCCGTGATTCATTGTGGACAAAGTTAGTAGAAATTGGTGTAAGTTGTAAATTTGTAAATATTGTTAAATCACTATATGAGAGAGTCACGTCATGTGTTAAAATATCATCTACAAATTGTCTGATTTTTTTTGAAATGTCACTGGGGTTTAAAGCAAGGGGAACCACTCTCACCGTTGCTTTTTATACTGTTTGTTAATGATGTTAGTGATTCACTAGATTTAATAATTTTTGTCAGATAGTGACTTACAGCAACTTTCAGTATATCTTTTGCTTTTTGCCGATGATATAGCGGTTTTTACAACGGACAAACACAGTTTAAACAATCCCAGTTAGATAGTATATACATGTATTCAGTCAGATGGAAATTAAAAATTAATGTGAGTAAGACAAAAATATGTGTATTTGAAAAAGGAAAACAAAGACATGATTTTGAATGGTTTATTAATAATGAAAAAATTGAAGAAGTTGACAGTTTTTGTTATTTAGGCATTAAACTTGTTAAAACAGGAAAATCTTCGTTTTGCTGTTAAGGCCCTGTGTGACCAGGCGCTTAAAGCCATGAATAGTTTATTATCTCTTTTTAAAAAGATTAGCATTGATTTAAAGACCAAACTAGTATTATTTGATAGACTTATTGTTCCCAATTTTATTGTATGGTTTCAGAACTTTGGGGAATATACAATTATAAGAGATTGACAAGTTACATATTAGGTTTTGTAAAATTATCCTGGGTGTTAGAAAACAAACTACAAATGCTGCTGTACTAGGAGAACTCGGGAGATTCCCGTTATCTATTATAAGTATTGAACGTTCCTTTAAATATTGGATTAAACTTAAGAACAATAATAATAATTCTGTTTTGTGTGACATTTTTATACAACAATGTACACTATCACAATTAAATGTTAATAATTGGGTGTTTAGAATTAAACAAACTCTTGACAATCTAGGTCTTTCACATATATTGATATATTTAATCCTAATTTGAATTATTTTTCTATTATACAAAGACGATTGCCGTGACCAGTATATTCAAGAATGGAGTTCAAGTTTTAAATACCTCGCGCAAATTAGAATATTATGCAAAATTTAAAAATGTGTTAGAATTTGAACCTTATCTTAATAATATTGTCAACGATATTTCTAGAATCCAGTTAACTAGATTCCGTGTGTCTTCGCATAATCTTGCAATTGAAACTGGTAGATTTAATAATATAGAGAGAAATGAAAGATTGTGTTTATTTTGTAATCAGAAACAGATTGAATCTGAATATCATTTTTTATTGATTTGTCCAAAATATAATAATATCAGAAAAGATTTACTTCCAAAATATTATACATCTTGGCCTTCGCTTAATAAATTTGTTGCATTAATGAATAATAATAATAAAACTATTCAAGTAAAATTAGCAACTTATATTAAAGAGGCGTTTAAAGTAAGAACATTGGCTATTGAGCTAAATGAATTTCTACAGACAAACAGTGCTTAATTGTAAATTTATTTTCATTGTATTGTAATGTTTATATGTTATGTGTTTGATTAATCATATGCATTTGAATTATTATTGTACATTTATATGTTATTTTGTCTTGGCCATATTCTATAATTATTTACTTGTAAATGGCCAAAGGCATATTTATGCCGATTGCTAAATAAAGATTGAATTGTGATAAGAAGTGACCAGTTATTATGCTGCCCTATTTTCAACGCCAGTACTTTTTTGCCTCATAATTGATATACAAACATGGCATAGAAGTAAATAAGTAAATAAGGAAGATAACTTAATGAAATTCTGGACAGCATTAAATTACTTTAACAAAAATGGCAAGATAAAATAATCGCTACGCATTAGAACCTGAAAATTTAAAATACTAGGAAACATTGACTAATAATTACTAATACACCTGTGTCTTTCATGAGTAAAATAACAGTACATTTAAAAAATTGTGAAATTCGCTGGTAATAAAGTGAGCATGTTCTTTTTTCTCTTTCAATACCAAAATAGAGACCTTTCTCTATAGGAATATCAGAATTGAGACATCTAAACTTACAAAGAGTAATTGCTAAATTTCTTGGTAAACATAGTAAATAATGTTCTTATTTAAACTGAGTTTTATATATTCTATAATTTAAATACTTAATTAGCAAAATTGAAAACATATCACTATTCCATACTTGTAAAGACTGATCACGTAATCGTGATTTCATTACATACTTAAAAATATTAAAATTTTTAACATTCTGAGTTATCCAAAAAACAGAACAACCAATATTATTCTTCTCAATCCACCGACAATGTAAAATACCCTTTTCATGAAGTATAAATTGTGCGGTACAAAGAAACACATATTTTATAATTTTTACCATTTAACAGTTTACTCCCAAAAATAAATATTCTGCAAGTAATATCATTTTCAATAGGAAATGCACCTAGTTCTACCAAGACCATAACCGAAGGAGTTGTCATCTTAAGTTTAAAGATCCTGTAACACATTTTTTCATGGTTTTATTACATAAATATGATGCTTAAATTAAGATTTGTCAATAATGTTAGTTCAAATAAGCATTATTTATAAAGATATTACCCAATTTAACATTTCATGTAAATAAAGGGAGGTAATTAGAAATTTATTTTCTATAAATTCTTAGTCAAATTTTCCTAAAAGAAATGAATGCATGTAATTTATTGATTAAATATAATGTGCACAAATATTTGCAGTACATATTTTACATATTCTTTGATGTTTGAAAATTGTTTTATTTGCATAATTATATACATACATAATTTTTTGCAAGTGTGATATACACACAAGGGGCCTCCGTGGCCGAGTGGTTAAGGTCGCTGACTTGAGATCACAGGTCCCTCACCGCTGTAGGTTCGATCCTCACTGGGTCGAAATCTTTCATGTCAAGGAAGCCATCCAGCTGGCTTACGGAAGGTCGGTGGTTTTACCCAGGTGCCCGCTCGTGCCTGAAATAATGCCCGGAAGGGCACCTGGGGTCTTCCTCCACCAATAAAGCTGGAAAAATCTCGGCGGGACGC